GTGTGCTCTTCCGATCTCCCCAAAACCCCAAAACCCCTTCACTCAGTATAAAAGTGTTTGCATAAGTAATCTTATAAATTATTAGTTATATTTTAGCCTCAAATATGTATAATAACATCTATTATTATTATTTAAAATGTTAATGAAATCACTGCTAACTTTGAGATCTACATTCAGTAGACAATCTCAATCTCTCTCGAGAAGATACTTCTCTCAAGTAGCTGCCAGTCAAACTCCAACCTCTTCAGACAACCTGACTTAATAGTCTTCAGACTTCGAGATGCATCACAAAAATCACAGATTCGTGCTTGATGAACCAAAGTTCTACGAGGATGAGTTCATTGTCACTAATGACAGCGAGCTTACATTCATGAGAACGCCCTTCTATGAAATCTCTAAACTTAGCTAAGTCAAAGAAGAGGAACTGGAAGATTTCTTCCAAGAACTCTCAGTCAAATCAACCTACATGACTGAAGTGACTAATCAACTAAAATCAGACCCAAATCATAAAGACTTAAAGGCATATACCAGGTATGGCGATGTCTTTGTTGATTAGGATGATGTTGATGAGAAAAGGTCTAAGTTTCTACTTTAAGCCCCTAGAGGAGAACCATACAGAAGAATATCGCCATCAGAATTATTCAAAGTTTAAAAACCAAGTAATCAAATGGATATTCTAAGAAAAGAGAAAGCATATATCGCTGAGAAATTCTTTGGTCCCTTCGAGCTTAAGGAAAGCAACTTAAGAACACTATTCATTGATTAGAAAGCCGTGTTTGCTAATGAAGACTTTGAGTCTTAGGAGTATCTAGATTGGAAATCAAAGGTATTGGAGGTTATTCCAAATCTGAATCATGATATTCTTGTGCAGTTTGCTCTACATCTAGCTTATGATGCAAAGCTAAATGATAAAGAGATATGGATGGCCATTGAGGATGCTTCTTACCCAGCACTGCATCATTTTACTAATTTATAAGTAGCCTAGCTGTAGTGGGCTGTCCAAGAGTTGAAGCCAAAGCATGTATCTCCTAGATTGCAAACTTTATTAGATAAGAGAGCACTTGAGACAATTGAGAACACAAATGATCACATGGAACTAATTGATATAATGCAGGGTTTTAGAAAGAAGTTTAGCCACGACATGTATATGAAAATCAGAAAGAACTTAGCAGATAGGAAGGACAGATATTTCCCAGTTGAAAAGAGCACTCACAAGCAGAGGATTGAGAATATAGTCAACACATTCTACACTCTGGCTTCAAACAGGCCTAAAAGTTACGGGACTTATGAAGTTGTTGCTTCTTAAGAAGTAGATGAGTTAATCGCTGTTTATGAACAAGATTTCTTAGATCACATTAAGGAACTTGATACTGATCATTTAACAAGAGCAGCTACAGCACTCTATCTATTTAAGACACCAAACTACGAAAACATATTCTGGAGAATCGAGACTTAAGCTAACAACCTCATCGACAAACTTGAGCCATCACAAATGGTTTCAATTCTAAGATCATTCGCCAGATCTCAAGACAACATTTCTTGTGCTAAAGACAAAACTTTTTACAATTTCGAAGCTAAGCTTCTCAAGAACCTTGATAATTTGAGTGAAAGAGAGCTTTCTCATGTGGCCTATGCATATGGGGTACGCAATGTTGGCAACCCCGAACTACACAAAGCACTTGAAGCTAGAATCAATAAATCAGTTGAGAATTTCGACTATCAATCACTGTTCAATGTAATATACTACTTGCTCTTCAGAGAAAACGGTAGCAAAGAACTCTGGAATAAAATAATGCAGACTACTTTGAAGAACCCTGACATCCTTCCACTGATCTTTTACAGACCATTTAAGATTTCCTCATTATATCTAAAGGGAAGGTTCCCAGACATTGTCAAAGATGAACTATTTATTGACTATGAGCATAAATTTTTCTACCCAGAGCGTTTGTTCACTGCTCTGAGACAAGAGAAATATTTCTAGCTTTACAAGGAAAATTTAAGTTTTAAGGGATTCCTGAATGCAAAGTGTTTCCTCTATCCTATTCCCTTCGCTACTGAAGCCAGTCTGTTCACTCTTCATTTTATGTTTAAGGAGCAAAAAATTGCTATCAATTTTCATCTCAAAGTAAGATGCCCAAGAGAATCTTAAAAGCCAAATGAAATGCAAAAATTAGGTGCTAAAATGTTAAAGTATCACGGTTGGGAAATCTTAGACCTGCCAGAGTCAGAGTTCAATTCTTGGACATATCACGAAAGACTAAATAATATTAACGGATGGATCAAGGAAGCTAAATAAAGGTAGGTTAAGAAGGGAATAATGGATGCAGTGCCAAAGCAATATGTTTGAAAATCTCTACACGGTCCCAATAAATCCTCGAAGTTTAACGCTCGCACCTTTACACTTTAATCAATTTATTTAAACTTTTGCCAAACTTATAACTATTATTAATGTTAACATTTATTTAAATAAAGCAGACTAATATTCAATTAAGAACCTCCTATCCTCTTACTGTGAGCATGTACAAATATCATAGAGCGATTAAGATGAATTAAGAGATTCCGAATGTAGTGAAATGCAGTGCCCTCATTGAAACAAATATTCTATACCATATTTCTTGGCTTCAACTGGGTCGTTTTTGACTTCATTCAGCTTTATATTGTCGACAAGTAAATTGTAAACCTGTCTTGGGTTGTAATCAGGGCTAAACCCTACTATCTCTAAATGATCCTGCTCAAAGGTCACCAAGTATCTACCCCATTCACAGTCCTCTGGTCGCATTATTCCATCACTCACGTTTTAAATCTCTCTCTTTGAAAGTAGATCGTGACTATATCTGAGTGAGTCAGTGGCATGGAAGAACTTTTTCTTTGAACCCACTGAGTAATAGTCAGTAGTTGAATTGTCCTCAGCAACAAGATTAAAAGCTCTGATATTTTCGGGATGGAATTCATGCACACATTTCTATGATACACCGCAAGCCTCAAAAATTTTATCTACAATCTCTAAATCTTCAAGTCTATCAGCATGAAGTTTTTCAATCAACTTCATTCCCTTGTGAGGAGTGCAGACAGTGGACAAGCTTTGCACATTTGTTGCTCCATACAACGAAATAGCTGCTCTTACATCAATGCCAGTAAAGCTGTGAGCAATGACGTGCACTCTCTGGCCTTAATTATCCTTTGATATTTTCTTTAATGACTTGGCTAGCTGCTCAGCTCTCTGCTCGATATTCATTGAGTGATTGCTAATATTTGGCAGCATGTAGAGATAGTTCACTTTGTTCTCGTACTTTATGATTCTTTGAATAGTATCGTACTGTTTGGTGTTGTAGGCCAAGTAGTGGTTCAGCATAATATTGAATGCAAAGACGACAGGTTAACGGACTTAACGCTGCTTGACAGCGTTAGATCGAATGATTCTCTCCATTATTAGATTATTTTTTTTGATAATTAAAGGTTATTAAATTATGTATATAATTCAAGAGCATGAATGCGGGGTTTTGGGGTTTTGGGGTTTTGGGG